GTTTGCACAATATGCTACACCATGATTATCATCATTAACTGAATTAAGCCAGTTACTTTACTTCATATTACAACACACTGAATCACAAACCAATGTATTTTAGGCTAGTCTGTTGTGGAAACCAGCAAGACAAATAATAATTTCACGTAAGTCATGAGTGGGTTCTTTCATGAATAGAGAAAAAGAAATGTCACTCATCTGCTCTTTCTGTTTATCTCATTCCTTTTTCTTTCACATTGGTAATTTTAACTATCTGTTTACAAACATCACTTTCCTATAATGATGCTCACCAACCAGTGGAGAACGTTCCTTTAGAAAGTTACTGGTAATCATGTTTTGTGTGACTCTAATCCAGAAAGAAAGATAATGGTTGTCCTTCAAGTTGTCTTTCTAGTACATTCTAGTCTTTCTAGCAACCAATGTTTCTTTGCATTAGGACTACAAACCCAGTGGTGAAACCAAATTTTTTTACTACTAGTTCTGTGGACATGGCTTGGTGGGCGTGGCAGGGGAAGAATACTGCAAAATCTCCATTCCCACCCCACTTTGGAGCCAGCCAGAGGTGGTATTGCCGAATACTCCGAACTACTCAAAATTTCCACTACCAGTTCTCCAGAACCTGTCAGAACCTGCTGGATTTCACCCCTGCTGCAAACTCTAGATGACCATTTATCAGCAGAAAAGCATTTGGAGTGTCTTGCATCTTTATAACTTTACTGTTTGGAAGAATGCATGTCCTTATGAAATCAACATGCTACCTTATTCAGGTACACTGTTATGAAAGGGAAGATTGTCACATATTTACAGGTAGTCCTCGACTTATGAACACAATTGAGCCCGGAAGTTATGTTGCTAAGTGAGAAATTTCTTAAGTGAGTTTTGTCCCATTTTACGACTTTTCTTGCCACAAGAGCCGTGGTGGCGCAGTGGTTAGAGTGTAGTACTGCAGGCCACTTCTGCTAATCACCAACTGCCAGCAGTTTGGCAGATCGAATCTCAGCAGGCTCAAGGTTGACTCAGCCTTCCATCCTTCCAAGGTGGGTAAAATGAGGACCCAGATTGTTGGGGGCAATATGCTGACTCTGTAAACCGCTTAGAGAGGGCTGTAAAAAGCACTATGAAGCGGTATATAAGTCTAAGTGCTATTGCTATTGCTATTCGTTAAGTGAATCACTGCAGTTGTTAAATTATTAACACAACTGTTAAATGAATCTGGCTTCCTCACTGACTTTGCTCGTCAGAAAGTTGCAAAAGGTGATCACATGAGCCCGGAACACTGCAACCATCGTAAATATGAACCAGTTATCAAACATCCGAATATAAATCACGTGGCCATGGGGATTGCTACAATGGTCATAAGTGTGAAAAATGTCATAAGTCACTTTTTTCCAGTGCCGTTATAACTTCAAACGGTCACTAAGCGAACTTTTGTAAGTAGAGGACTACCTGTATAAATGTTACTGTCATAGCAGGGAGGGGAAGGGAGATACTCTGAGGTCATAGATATTGGAGTGTTCCATAAATACCTGTCTCCTGGGGCTTAGGAGAAGAGATATATTGAGAGAGTAATGGAAGAGATGCCAGAGTCATATTTTAAGTTAAAGGTAAAGGTTTCCCTCGCACATATGTGCTAGTCGTTCCCGACTCTAGGGGGCGGTGCTCATCTCCGTTTCAAAGCCAATGAGCCAGTGCTTCCGAAGACCATGTGGTCATGTGGCTGGCATGACTAAACACCAAAGGCACATGGAACGTTGTTACCTTCCCACCAAGGGATTGCATTTTTTTACATGCTTTTGAACTGCTAGGTTGGCAGAAGCTGGGACAAGTAATGGGAGCTCACCCCGTTACACAGCACTAGGGATTCGAACTGCTGAACTGCCGACCTTTCGATCGACAAGCTCAGCGTCTTAGCCACTGAGCCACTGCGTCCCTTTTATATTTTAAGTTAGGGATCCTCAAATACATAGCCACCAGATTTGTTTAATTATGTCTCATTCTATGCTGGATGAAGCCCCCAACACATCTAGGGGGCAGCAGGTTGATATACACCATGAAAGAGTGTATAATATAGGCACAAAGATGCAGTGTTAAGGGCATTGGCACAAATGATAAATTCAGCTAAATTTCTAAGCACACTTACATAAATCCCAAAGAGACTTTCTTCTGAGTATATGTGTATAGGATTACATTGGTGCTAAATTCCCATAATGAATTAATCATTATAAGAATAAGATAGACCGGACTATAAACAAAATTTAACTTTGGTATTTTATGAGGGAAAGTAGAAGAACATATACAGATTCTTTTTCCTTAAAGAAGTGGTATTACAGAAGAGTCAGAAATATGCTTTTGTCCAGACTTTGCAGGTTTTTTTAGATATTTGCAACTGCAATATATATCAAAAAACAGAAAGTCTCGCTATTTTATTGAACAATCCTGGTTTTCTGGTTGCTTGGAAACAGTTCAGACTGGTATAATGCAGAAGTGTCTGAAATGAATCAAGGTTGCCAAAACTTAATGTAACCAAATTTAGGAATTGTTCTAACTTCACCCACTTGGACCCAGGTCCCAGCATTTCACTCAAGGCTTAGCGTAGCTCTTGGCATGAGAAAAGTTGCACACCTAGTATAATGAATAGCTATTGCCATATGCAAAACATAATGAAATGAAGTAGCTCCTTACAAAAGTGGGGAAAGCTGTATTTTAAGCTTTTTAAAATTCATTTGAATTAATGTAAGCAAATGATACTAAAAAAGAAACACTCTGGAAAAAGAATTTTCTTTGCACATACATTATTTCCAGTTTTTAAAAGAAAAAAAGGGGGCTGTTTGAAGTATTATATGTAGTAGTTGTGTGTAAAATCTCTTATTCTTCATATTGGCTTCTTAAAAATTAGCCAACCAATCATAAAGCTCTAGACCGACGCTGTCTGTCTAAGTTAATCCAAGACCAGTAAAAGGATAATTTGATTAAACTGAAACCCTAATTTATTTAGCTTTAGTTCTGGATCAAGCTTTTCTTAATAGAGTGCTGTCGTCTTCAATTGTTTGAGGCAAATTAAAGTGACATAAATACCATGGGACTTTTTCAATCAGATTAGTCAGCTAACTTGCATCAATACTACCTCAACCATAGATGCTGGCGTCCTTCTTTTCATTAGCCTTACTAACAACTGACAAGCTCTCCTAGAAGAATGGGCACCCACGCTGCCACGCCGACCCCCACACTTAACCCATCATCCTTCCTCAATGGGTCCTATTTGACAAGGTGCCCACACCTTTTTCCATTGCTATTCTCTAGACAAAGCTAAATATTGTTTATTGGCTTCCAATGGCCTGTTAATCCCAAACAATTTCACAAATCCATGGACCACTCAAACTGATTATAAACATTTGTTCTTTTAAGATGCTAAATCTCTCCTGGTTTATTTCCTCTGTTCTTTTTCCTCACTATACAGTACCACAGCTTTCAAATATGAAAGGTAGATTTGCCCTTTAAAGTGACCTTTTAGACAGCAACAAAAGCAAATTTTTGAAGATTGTGACCAAGTTGGTATCCTCAAGGACTTAATTGTAATTACTATGTTGAAAGGAAGAAGTAGCCATATACCAGCTTTTCATATATCACAATGAGATATTGCTTATAAACCTTTCTATAATATGAGAACAATTAGAAAAACTATAGCACTTTAATTTTTGATGGTGCATGAAGTTCCCAATAAGGTTTCTTTTATTGAAAATGAATAGCAAGCTTATGTACTGTTTACTGGCTGTACTACAGATATAAAATACTTCATGGATAAACAGTGAATCTAAAAATCAAGAAAATACATTGACAAAAAACTTATTAAGGAGGACAAAAGTACACTGAACTTTTTATTGTAAGATGAAATATATATTCCAATTCAGAAGAAATGGTCTCATGAATCGTTGGGGATGTGCAGTTGACAGATTTCATGGAAAACATTTTGAAACTGGATTGGGAGAGACTTGGCAGCAGTTACTCTGGATACAATATTGAATTAGATGGATTATGAGCTCAACTTTTCAAAAGGCAGCTTTAATTTTCTTAAAGTTAATTTTCAGAAAGCCAAAGCTAAGGCAAAAGTGGGCAAAGGACTGAACTTAAACCCAGGTGTATATACAGTTGTAGTCTTCAAGATTAGTGGCTGTGTAATTTTGGCACAATTAAAGTCTACAACCTCTGAGAATCGTGCTATTGTGCTAAGAAGTTCTGGCAGAGACATAACTTAGTCATTTGCAACTTCTTTGCATACATTTGCCTGAAATTTACATAGCACAACTAATGCCACTGACTACCCTAGTCCATGAGCTGCAGGACAGAGGAATTAACTCAGAGCTTCTCAAAAATTTTCTTTCATTACCCAAAACTGCTATCAGAAAGTCCTTTTTGCCCAACATAGGTGAAAACACTTTGCGTGAATTTAAATGTCCCTGTTGTGATTAGGTAATGATGCACAAACCCATTACGAAAAACCCATAAAGAAAAATCACTTTATCCAATTTTAGGTAATTTACTCAGGTTTGGGAAGCACTGCTCTAACCTTTCCTATCTTAAGTCCCATACATCATTCTATAAAACCCTGAGGATAGGGGGAAAAAACCGTTTATATGATCACAGGCACTTTTGTAGAATTATTTACAGTAAAATTTTAAAACTTAAAAGTTCAGTGACTTATCCTGTGTCCTCACCACCAACCCCAGAACACTTCGGAGTTCTGCTTGGATATGCAGACTACTGACTGTGACTTATTCCCATAAAAGGCACAGTATTACGTTGACCAAATCTGTAGATAACAAGTGCAGCTGGCTTAAGGAAAATATTCCCTTGAGTCAAGCTTGACTCTTGGTGATTTGGGGGGCGGGGGGAATGGAGTACTGTGGATTTCTCATTGCTTTATTCTGGTATATTTTCTTGACTTCCAAGATTAACATATAGCCTGGAAGTAAGTAGGATTTACACAATTTATGTTTTTCAAGATCAACCATGTTGGCTAAGGGTTGCCCATCAGTCTCGCAGAAAATCCTATAACTGAAAACTTACGTTGTACATGAAGTGGAGAGAATCCTGCTGAATTGAAGCCAGCAGATAAATGGGAGAGGAGAGAGGTAGATGCACTTGAGGTAATTTTTTTTTAAATAAAATGTCTGTGTTTCTATGACAGGCTTTTTTTATACTAAAATCACAAATTTGTCGATTTACAACACAATACAGTGAGCCACCAACTGTCCACCTTTGCTGAATATGTCCAAAATATGGCTAAAATGAGGGACTCAAGTCTTTTTAATGCCTCCTTGAGGACTCAGGATATATATGGCCTTTTAGTTTCTTGCTTGCAGTCTAAGGAATCTTTTTGAACTATATAATTAGCAAAAATCATATTTTCTTCCTGCCTGTTTCAGGGCAGGAAACACACATAACGTCTAATGTAAGCCTTGAATGGCTTAGTGTAATTAAACATGAAGCATCTCATTCAAAATAAAAATGAAGAATTCTGGTCTTGCTTTTGTGCATGACACAGCTATGTCTATTTTCCTCCTCAAAGTGTGTTGTTATGGCTAGGAAAGATGGTCTATCTCTGCATTAAACTATCAAATATCTTTTTTTTAAACTATTTTGGGATGTTGGAAATTCACAAATAGTGATAATGCAAGAGAATGTACAGGTTTGAGTGAAAAACTATCTACTCATTAGATTTTGGGGGAAGCATTTACCTTTTCATGAGGTATAATATGATGAAGAGGACAATGTGTATGTTTGGACATGTAATGACAGTTGACAGCTTAGAGATGTGCTTATATGCAAACTAGACCAAAATTGTCATAGGGATGTTAATAAAGCTAAAGGCTAGTATAGAAACTGATTGATTACTTCTCTAGATCAGGGGCTGGCAAACGTTTTTTGTGAACAGCCAAATCCCACTTCTCCACCTCCACTTCCACTGGCAAGTCTGCATCTCAAAGAGTGTGGCAGGTATTGGACAGTGTGACTCGGCAGCACAAAGGCCATTGATAAGCTGCTGCTACTCAAAATGCCACACCACTGACCCATGGCCACAGCCCTCACCTCAGGACAGTATTCGATGTGGCTTCTGGGCTTCTGGCTGCTTTAAAAAGACATATTGATCACTTAGATCAGTGATGGCTAACCTTTTTGCCGTTGTGTGCCAAAAGCGGGGGGAGCATGGCGGGTCACGCACATGCGTGCCCACACACATAATTCAATGTCCCCACTCTGCACCTCCGCACATTCACATGTGACCCCCCCCCATGCTAACCACGCTTTTGGCATGTGATGGCACAGTGGGCCCAGTAGGCCCATTTTCCACCCTCCCCAGGCTCCAGAGGCTTTCTAGGAGTCTGGGGAGGGCAAAATGGCCCTCCCTACTCCCCGGGAGGCCTGAAACGGCCTGTTTCCCGACTTCCGGTCGGACCGGAAGGCCCAAAAATCAGCTGGTTGGCACACACATGTGTGTTGGAGCTGAGTTAGGGCAAGGCTTGTGTGCCCACAGATACGGCACCGCGTGCCATAGGTTCGCCATCACGGACTTAGATCAATATGACTTAGGTCAGTTAAATCTGCCTGTCACATAGCTCAATTTCTTTGCAGTGCTAAACAGTAATCCTTGGCACCAATAACATGTAAATAACATATAATGGTTTTATAAATCCAAGTACCCCAAAACATAAAGCAATCACATAAAGCAGACATGATAGTCTGAACTGCTGCTTGGTTCTTTTTTTTGTTGTTTAGTATTTGATTTAAATTTTAGCATTTTAAATCTGTGTCCCATAGTTTTAGATTTGTCCATTGAGTTCTGTTTCTATTTTTTAAAATCAGATTTAAGACAATCAGTAATTATATGTTATACAAGTAATGTCCAAACACTTGTGTCTACAGCAGAGAAGAGAAAGAACTACAGGAAACTCTACTTTTGAGTGGAGAACATAAGAAGGGGTCAGCCAAGCTAAATTTTGCATTGTTGCTTCATGGTCCATGTGAAAGTAAGAAGAGGACAAGAACCATTGTTTTTGCAAAACTAGAAGTTTAAAAAATCCAAAAAAAAAAAGTAAGTGTGAAAAATCAAAGAATCCTTTCAACCTACCACAAGGTTTTAATTTTATTATCAGTAGAGCCTATCTTACTAGCAGAAATCAGTATCAGTACAAGTTTCATACTAGATGTTTTAGTCAGGTCTTAAGGAGGAAGCCCATTATGTAGATAAAATTGTTTGCAAGAAACAAGATGCAAGAAACTGAAAAATAGTAGGTTGAAGGGTGTGTTTTTAAACAATAAAAAAATAAGATTAGGATATGTAGAAAAAAAAGGAGAAAAAATGGATCTCTTGCAAAATTAACAATTTGGTTCCTCTTAAAAGGAATTATTTTCTGCTTTTGCAAAATATTATATTAGTGATATGTTTGGACAAGATATTGAAACCGAAATTCACCAACTGTATTGTAGCTAAGCATGTTGTGCATAGTCAGCTATATGTTAATTTATGGTTCAATGCATCATTTAATCGTTTAAAATTGCCCATATGTAAATATATCATGTATATAGTATATCATTTATTATAAGCTTTGTTAGTTTTGGAGTTTACTGAGATTTAATCATGTAATCTTTTTTCAGAGGTTGAATGGTTGGAATTGTGTATGTTGAATGCAAGTGTTTATTACAAACTATCTTGTCATATTTAGCTTTCCTGACATAGCTTCAAAGCAGAATCAAGTTTCAGCATCAAGACACTTAAGCTTTCATGTACAGTATACATATACTGTACATACATACATACATACACATAAACATATTCATACACACACATACATACTGTATATGTACAGGTAGTCTACGACTTACAACAGTTAATTTAGTGACCGTTCAAAGTTACAACAGCACTGAAAAGAGTGACCATTTTTCCCACTTATGACCATTGTAGCATCCTCATGGTCACGTAATTTACATTCGGATGCTTGACAACTGACTCACATTTATGACGATTGCAGTGTCCCGGAGTCATGTGATCCCCTTTTGCAATCTTCTGACAAACAAAGTCAATGGGGAAACCGGATTCACTTAACAGCCCTGTTACTAATTTAAGAACTGCAGTGATTCACCTAACAAATGTGGCGAGAAAAGTTGTAAAATGGGGCAAAACTCCCTTAACAAATTTTTCACTTAACAAACATAAACGTTGGGCTCAGTTGAGGACTGTGTGTGTGTGTACACATACACATGTATTGTTTAAAAAATCCACACTGTTTTTTGAATACCTTGTTTCTGAAGCTGTTAAGTATGAGTCCTCTTTTCCACCGTAATCACATTGTCTATGTTCCTCAAACACAAGAGGGCAGTACAGTTCTAATCTGGAAAACAGCTTTTCAGTCACGATTAGGGCATTGTAAAAAAGGAAAGAATAAAAGCTCAGATTCAAGCTTCAAATGTGCACTTATTCCGAAGGAACTAATATTGGTTGACTTATTTTTGATGCATATACATTTAGAACCAAATATAAATTCTTACTGACCAAAAAGGGAAAAATATTTGGGGTAAACATGGTTTCTGAATTATCTGAGAATTAATTACCTTGAAGATTTTCATTAACTTTTGCAGTATACTTATCTTTTTATTGATTTTTCTGCCAAAATTCTTAATAAGAACTAAGATTCTGAAATGTATTGTTTCTTTTTTGCAGTTTCTTCCTGATGTTAAAATCAAATTAGCTCAGAAAAGGCTAGATGAAAAAGTTTCATAATGGAATAGTGATAACTCTTTAATACAAACATACTGTTTCAAGCCTATTTCTTAAATCAGTCTAACTCATATAATGGTTAACAGAAAATACTCTTTAGGTTACTATCCTTACTTAAAAAGTAAAACCCTCTGATATATTTTTTTTTACCAAAAACCAAAGTTTAGGATCAGAATGAAACCATATAACTACAATAGGTTTTCTGGAGTAAATGAAAAGAGCAGATTGAATAAGCATTTTGAAATCACCTCTTTTTTCCAATTGGACTGAACAAAAGTAATTTGTGAATGTCAATGGCTAGAAATAAAACATAAGTGACAATGGCAAAAAAGTAAAGGAAAACTCTTTAAACTGCTACCATATTTGGTAACTGTCACTGTTGTTGTTTCCTGACTTATTTATTTCTGAAGGTGGCATTCATAATACATCAAAGTGGTTCTCTTTCTGTCTTTCTGAAAGTATACTCCATTTTTTCAGTTAAATAATGTTTGAGGGAATGTTCTCACAGGCCTCTATAGTTGAACTTCCTTGGCCCCAAACCTTTTTTAGACCTTTTACAGAAGTTCAGGAAACATCATCTCTACCAGAATTCATTCATCTAGCACTGTGATGGTGAACGTATGGCACATGTGCCAGAGGTGGCATGCAGAGTCCTCTCTGCTGGCACGTGCACCATCGCCCCAGGTCAGATCTCCGTGGCATTTCTTTCATCAGCTTCTGTTTCCCTGCAAACACTGAAACAGAAGTTCACGAAAGAAAAAGATCTTACCTCTTGCTGCGCTGCCAGTGTTGGGATGTCTCGCCTCCGGCCGGCCAGCTGGTCCTCGGGTCTCTGCTGTGCATGCGCTCATGTCTGTGTGCGCGCACATATCTTTCAGTTTGGGCATGTACGAACGCATTTTGGGCACTCAGTGTCTAAAAGGCTCGCTATCACTGATCTAGCATCACCCTGGATCCCATAGTTTCTATGGCTTTCAGGAAAACTTACATGTTTAATTTAAAACTTACAGGAGAATTTATATTTAAGCTCATACAATCTGTTTTCATTCTCCCCCTCCCCTTTATTTACTAATTATGTTTCTGAGACATCCAAGAAACAAATTCCAATTATTTCCCTACGTGTTACCATTAACCGTTTTAAATTAAAGTTTGCTCCCTCGTAATGATAGCTATATTTAGACTGGCAAATTTTACTGGCAATAAAATGTCCCATAAGTTCACCTTTACTAAGTTATAGTCATTTATCCAATTCAGAAAAAAACAATGAACACATGGGTGTGTCCTTCTGGGTAAAACTTTACCAGTTGAACAACTGCAACTAAACCCAAATGGTATATAGTACTCGCCTTCAATCTTGTTTGAAATCCTTAATTGTAAAAAAAAAAATACTCATAAAATAAAAAGAGTTGTGTCTATTTGCATCCCAAAGAAAATGATAACATGTCATTGCCCATAAAATCTCAAAGTCATAAGCAGCTGCACGTGATATCACTTAAAAATAATTGCATAATATTTGTCCCCCCCAGAGCCTCATCCTTAAGCTTTGGACTGACAGGCATCAAGTAGATCCTTCCTTCTCTCTAAATCTCGATATGTTTTTGTTCTTTTACATTCAGCAGCTGATCCAAATTTCACAAAAGCAACTCAAAAGAACGGGTAGAATATTAGGATAGATTGATTGTTTCCAAATTGGAATACTAATGATGATCTTTAATGAAGCCTGACAGTACAATCTGTTTCTTATTGTTCCCTAAGTGCTGGCTTCTGATCATATTCACTTCTTTTAGGTGGTGGAAAGAGGTAAAGACAAATGGTGCCTGCTGGCAAACAGGTCTGGGAACAGCTGATCTTTCAGCAAGGATTAAATTAATTAAAATGATTCCTGCATCTGAAGAATCAATCTTTTATTTGTCATCATCATACTGTTTATTAATATTGAATGGTGGCTAATTGGTGCCACTGCTGTTTGTGTCATCTGGTTTAGTAATCTTCTTAGAAAGCAGTCACAATTTCAGTGGCTTAAGGCTCAAGGCAGGGAATTGGGAGACGAGATTTCCTGACTTCTTGATTAAGGCAGGAGCTGGGGGGAAATGAATCAAAATTTGCAACTTCTGGGCAGGAATATGATTGTTGTTAACTAAATTACCTAGTTTCAAATAGCAAGTTTCTGGGCAGGAATATGATTGTTGTTAACTAAATTACCTAGTGTCAAATAGCAAGTTTGTTTTTCTCTCCTGGAAATAATTTATTTGTCATATAAGTTGTTAAATCATTCATTTTTAATCCTGATCTATAGCGCATTAGAGATTTGGCCTTACCTGCATTAGAAATTTCACCATTTTATTATTCATATAAGATAATGTATAAAAAGTGAAGCATTGCTGCACATTAAGTTCATGATAGTAGAAAATACAAAGGCCAAATCGGATATATGCCAAATATACAAAAACAGGATTATTTATTATTTATTATTACAGATTAAAAATATTTTGGAAGGCTCAGTGGCTTTGGAAGCCATTAATGTATGTTGCTAAGTGAAAAATTCGCTAAATGAGTTTTATCTCATTTTAGGACTTTTCTTGCCACAGTTGTTTAGTGAATCATTGCAATTGTTAAATTAGTCACACGGTTGTTAAGTGAATCTAGTTTCCTCATTGGTTTTGCTTGTCAGAAGGTCGCAAAAAGGGATCACATGACCCTGGGATACTGCAATTGTCCTAAATGTGAGTCAGTTGCCAAGCATCTGAATGTAAATCATGTGAACTTGGCAATGCTGCAATGGTCATAGGTGTGAAAAATGGTCATAAATCACTTTTTTCAGTGCTGTTGTAACTTCAAATGGTCACTAAACAAACTGTTGTAAATTGAGGACTACCTGTAAATTCTATGACCACATATTGTAAGATTTTTATTACACAAAGGTCTGAGTCCTTAGTGATAGACCTGTAACTGGATATGGACTGTGGGGATGATGAAATATTATTGCACACATGCCTGGATTCTGGCACCTATCCTGAGATTAGATGAGAGGATAAAATTCCTTGACAAATATTTTCTGAGTGCAGGAAACTCAATGTCAGGCAGCAGACTTCTAATGTCAGATACCTGATCTTCTGGGACAAGCATTATTAGCTTGGGACTAGGTAAAGTTTCTAAACTTTAAAATGTTAAAAAAATCAAAATGAAATTATTATTATAGGTTTTATTCTACTAGGTGAGAATTTGTCATTTTCCATTTTGACCTAAAATGGGTCTCCACATTGACGAATATGCTTCCAAGAATCTCAAGAGATTGCTTCAAGGCCTGGTGGCTCAGCAGACTAAAAGCATTGTGATTAACACCAGCTGTCTGCAATTACTGTAAGTTCGAATCTCACCAGGCTCAAGGTTGACTCAGCCGTCCATCCTTTCTAAGGTAGGTAAAATGAGGACCCAGTTTGTGGGGGCAATAAGCTGACTTTGTATAAATATACAAAAGTATGAAGGCTATTGCTTAATGCATTGTAAGCCGCCCTGAGTCTCCAGAGAAGGGCGGCATATAAATCATTTTTTTAAAAAAAAGGCACTATACACTGCAACATTCTTAAAATCCTCCATATCTTGGATATAGACTAGGAATAGGAATAGGAATAGGAATAGGAATAGGAGTAGAGTAGAGTAGAGTAGAGTAGAGTAGAGTAGAGTAGAGTAGAGTAGAGTAGAGTAGAGTAGAGTACAATACAATACCATACCATACCATACCATACCATACCATACCATACCATACCATACCATACCATACAATACCAGAGTTGGAAGAGACCTTGGAGGTCTTCTAGTCCAACCCCCTTCCTAGGCAGGAAACCCTACACCATTTCAGACAAATGATTATCCAACATCTTCTTAAAAACTTCCAGTGTTGGAGCATTCGCAACCTCTGGAGGCATGTTGTTCCACTGATTAATTATTCTAACTGTCAGGAAATATGATTATAACATTAGTCTTAATGATCTAAATGAAAGGATACATAGATAGGATATTTTTCCTGAAACAAAGGGTTTTTAAGGAATGTAGGATTAGGCTTCAAAAGTTGTATTTTTTGAAAGTACTATTATTGTGTTCACCAAAATTCATGGTGGGGGAGGGAGAGGGAGAAGGAGAAGGAGATGCTGTCATGTTATATTTAAAACAAAAATGGGACTGAGATCCAACCATTAACTGCTTTTCAGCTTATATAGTGAGAAGATGTTCTTTAGTTCTTTTATCTCCAAATTCTTTTTCCTGTCTGAATACTTTCCCTGTTGAGAAACACACTGACTGCAAATAAGAGAGGTAGATAAGCCTGCCAGCAAATATTCTAAGTAACTAATTTTGAATAATGCCTTGTCCTCGGAGTTGTGGGTAGTTAACCTTTGACTTTTTATATCACCATATGGGAGAATCTTACTTTTTTTAAAAGAAAAAGAAAAAAAGTCCTTGCGGAAGGCAAAGAGTAAATTTGTTTTTGCTCTGGGTTTCCAAGAGTAACTTAAGTTATCCCTTTCACACATATTTTTTCTTGATGTTTAAACTAACTCCATGGGTTGTTGTTGTTGTTGTTTAGAAAATGTCTCTCTGAAGATAATGTTACTTGCTTTGTATTTTCTCCCTTATATCATGTGATAATAACTACATTTCTCAATTTTATCTGTTAGGCACAGATGCTTATCTTTACAATCCTATGCAGACATGAAATCCTATAGAGTTCAAAGGAATTATTTAGGTAAGTATTTTTATAGAGTTATAATTTATCTGACCTTTGAATACCGTCCTTTAGTTATAAGATCATGGTATCAAAGATTGAGACAATGAGAGTATTAGCTGAATGGTAAACAATATCACTACAAAATACAATTTTGTGTATTTTTTCCTTTCAAATGGTCAAAAAAGCATGATGAGGCAATATAGGATGCAAAAATCTTCAACACATCATTGTCGATTGCAATACTGTAACAGTATTAGGGTTCATTGAGGTACTAAGATAATGAAAGAGATCACATTTACAGCAAGGTTAATCAAACACCAATTTGGTTGTCTAAAATAATAATGTTCTAAATAAACGTATATTGTAATAAGCTTTAATAGACTAAAGACCACTTCATCAGACATACAGCAAATGATTTAAGTTGCAGGCATATATGTACATATTTCATTGAATGAAGTAGTGGATACACAAAAATAGTTTTAGTGAGAATACAAACATCCAACATTAAAGAACCCTGATGAATCAGTCTTGCAAGATTCTATTACCATAATCTTATAAAAAAACCTAATATTAGCTTGCAACAAATATTCCAAGTATCTAATTTTGAATATTACCTTATCCTCAGAGTTATAGGTAATCTTTGACTTTTTATACAGGGGTGAAATGCTCCTGGTTCGGACCGGATCACCTGATCAGGTAGCTATGGCGGCGGGTGGTTCGGAGAACTAGTAGCAAAAATCTGTGCACCGCCCCCCATGCCCAGCTAAGCCGCGTGATCATCAGAGGCTGGGGTTTTTTTACTTTTAAAAGCATTTTTTCTACAACCTCTTCGGCCGAAAAAATGCTTTTAAAAGTTAAAAAAAAGCCTCTGATGATTGTGTAGCTTAGCTGGGATCGTCAGAAGCTTCTAAAAGCATTTTTTCCTGCAACGTCTTCGGCTGAAGAGGTTGTAGAAAAAAAAATGCCTTTAAAAACCTCTGGCGATCCCAGCTGAGTTGCCTGATCGTCAGAGGCTTCTAAGAGCATTTTTTCCTGCAACCTCTCCGGCTGAAGAGGTTGTAGAAAAAAATGCTTTTAAAAGTTAAAAAAAAAAAAAGTTGGCCACGCCCATCAAGTCACATTACCCCCCACCAAGACACAAATTTTAGATTTCACCCTTGCTTTTATACCATGTGGCAGATTCCATTAAAAAAAAACCCTCTTTATGGAATGCATGAAATAAATATGTTTTTGGTCTGGGTTTCCAAAAGGAACTCTTAACTGGTTTGGTCTATCTTGGAGGTCTGACATCAAGGGAGAGTCAACAGACAAGACACTTTCTCAGATTACAGTTTTTTCCTCAGATTCAAGTTTCTTTTATCTGAAAATTGTCCTGGTAGCGGCTTCTCTTCCTGTTCCTAAAGGTTGTTCCTTCTTACCAGTACATGTACTACTGTGGTATCAAACAGACATGCATTCACAGCTCCTTGGAAATGGAACATGGGGTATGCGCCACAAAATGGGGCCACCATTTTAATATATATTTTTATTTTTCTAATGGTCTCCTCAAATACTCACCCAAGGTTTTCATCAAATTATCCATTATGATCCCCAAATATCTTTCCTGTCATCTTTAACTTGTAATGTTTTTGTGTAGGAAGCACCACTTTGATAAAAAGCTTGTTATTCTCACAGAACTGAATTCCTTGACATGATTAAGAGGAGTTGGGTACCACAACTTTGACTTCCATAAATACATAAAAGTATTATTAATAAAATTGTTGAAATGATCAGAATATAACCATTTATTCACATGTAAAATTTATATACTACACATTGTTACCAATGTCGGGCACATAACAGAAAAACATGGTAAGTATAAAATTCATACTTTAAAATTAGTTCACAACATAATAAGTAAACAAATATTCACATTATCTGTGATACAGCTAGGATGGTATATATCTCTGATGTAAATAAAAAGATATTAACCCAGGAACTGCCAAGATGAATGGGATGTAGGATAGGATAACAGGCCCTAAGCTACCCAACTAATCAAATAAAAGATATCTTTAAACCCATCCTAAAGGCCATCAATCTTTCACAGAAACAGAGCAAAAGAAGGAGCTGATTCTATAGTAGCAGGGCCCAGAATATACAGATTACAGCCCAGAGAAGAAGGGTGAGTGAACTATAGAGAAATAATGGATGACAGATGAGGGAGTGATTCAAGGACTCTGAACACAAGGGCATCTAGATATAAGGCTCAATAGGCAAAGTAGGCTTTGATTCAAATAAGGAGCCAATAAAATGTTACATGTAGGAGAAGACGTGGCAGAACCTGGGGGTGGAGCCAAAAGAGGAATCAGCCTAGAGTCACTTCAACCCCTCTTGAATTCCATTGAATAGTGGTACCTTTGAGCAGATTCTTGTTCATAGGTATGAGAAGTAATAAATCAGTTTAATTGGAACTTCATGTGTGGTCCTGGTCTGGTTCACACCTGACATTTCAATAGTGTAGAAGATCCACAATAGCTGAATCTCAAAACCCAATAATATAAACTGGACTCAGGAAAGAGAGAATTAGGTACAATATTCAGGACATAAGTTTGAAGCCATTGAGGCATACACCACTAAAAATGCTCCCTCTTCCATCAGAATCTTCTTAGTCCTATGAGTATTGTTACTAAGCTCAATGCAAGAATCAAGTAAATATATGATTTTTTGCACGTACTGAATGCATAGATCTACAAACTATATGGAGTTCTCAACATCTGATAAGAAATTATTGGTTTTTTCCTAGTGATAAATATGAAAACCTATTTTGAATATCCAGTAATATTCCTTCTAAAATTTTCTTTCTTTAATTTTGTTTATTCTATTCATAAAATAAATTGCTGTTTTTTATATTGCTGGTATTTTCTTTTTGTTTTATTAATTATGGGTTTTCATGTTTACATGTTACGCATTGTTCAGGGGACTTCTATGCTTGAAATATGGAATGTAATACCAATATCTAAATTTTGTAATAGGCCTAAATAAATATGCTTAGTATCACGACCTAAAAGTGATTTAGAGTTTAGTTTTATTGGTTATTGTATTATATTACTTTTACCTTTGTTAAACATTTAGTATATAACACCTGAGTGGCATATATTTCAGATATGATAAAATATGTATTTCTAGATGCTTCTGATTCAAAGATTAATAATTTGTTATCAAAACTTTTAATTGTTGATAATAACTTTTCTTCATTTTTGTATATAGCAATGAAGGAAAAGAGAAAAACAAACAGATCAAATTTGATTATGTGCTTTTTATTAATTGTTGTTTTCTGAGTTAAACATTTCCCTAAGTGTCTCTGACTCAGCCGTATTGCCTTTGACAGAACACAAAGAATCGGCTTCCTGTGATCAAGAGAAAATTGAGGTTAAATGAATTACTAGTAATTGCTTTTATCTCTTAAAGTATGTTTTTAAAAATCCATATAAATGATAAGTAACATTTATCAAGTTTCTCTTTGACTGATCCCTGGCAATTTCCCAGGCAAAGAAAAAGAAAAAAAAACCAATGAAACATAAATACCAAACAAATGGGATTTATTATCATCATAACTAATAGCCAGGAGTTCAGCTCAGACCCACCACAGTATTAATAGAACCCCTACTGGGCCACAAACATTGGTACAAATGATGGGGTCTGCGAACATAATCGCAAGGAGAATGGACCTAAATTAGTTGGGGCCCAGTAACCAGTTTACTAACACCTGTATTAGTACTGTATCACTGTGGGGAGGATCACTGTTAGACAAGCCATAATCCCATAAGCTTGTCATTTGCATATCCTCATTAGCTGATTAAAACCTTAAGGAGGAAGGTTTTTGCAGCTGGTGGGTCCATTCCACCACTCGGTCTGCCTGGGTGGCTTGGTAATGAAGTAATGTTGGTGAATGTGAGGTTTATATGTATGGAACAGATTAAGAGTATTAGAATTTGTGTGAACCAATGTTGCCATATTCTCTCTACTGGATCACAGTAATTGGATGGGAGGAGCAAGAGGGGATCCATTAGCTTTGTCTGTTTGCTCAGAAGCTGAGTGCTAGAGATTCAATTTTGTTTCCTTTCGCTCCTTTGCTTTTGTGTAGCATATCTGCTTTGTCTAAGGGAGCCCTTAGCACTTCTGAACACTGGCTACACTAAGGCGATTCAGAGCTACAAAGAAGACGTCTTGGAGAATGTGAAACCAGCCAGCATAAAATGCAGCCTAGACTCAAGTAGCACTTGAGAGTACAACACATTCTGACCTAGTCCAATCCTGAGATGGAAAAGCAAGGGATAATTGAAATCTATAAACACCTCAGGGTCTTTATTATTATTTTATTAGTTCTCCACATTTAAGCTTACCCAACTTCCACATCAAAAGAATTCGGGAGCTACTTACAAGAAAACTGAACGGTTTTAAGTTTCAGGAACTTAAAAAGCAATTGTTATGAGCATTTGCTGGCCATGCATAATTTTAATGCCTGGAGAAAAAAACCCATTGCTGTGCTATTTGTACAGCTGGAATGATCACTATGGGTGACTTGATGGTGGGTCTTTTTTTAAAAAACTGATTTTTTTTTCCTCTCACATGCAGTCAACAATACAGGTCTATTAATGCTGCTAGGAAAACTTCTTTTGCCATTCAGAAAACCTAAAAGCTACATCTGGCTGCAGATGGCATTGGAAGCAACATACAAAATGCTTTTCAGTTGAACCTTAATGTTTGTAAAGATGTAAGACATACATTATGTATGTAAGATTTAAGACATAAAATTTCGATTATAGGTCCCTTCGCTATTTTTTATTTTTTTTTAAAATCTTTAATATTTTATATGTCGCCTCATTTGCAACAAAATAAAACCTTATTATCCTTCCTCTTGAAAGAGCCTAACACAGAGCACAAAATAATAAAATTCAGCACCACTGTGCAACAATTTCAAATATCCAATAAAGTAGCCTTTAAAAATATCACTTACAATACATGTACGTACTGCTGAATTGGTTGATAAATTCCACTTTGTTGGTTTTTAAAGCTAAGGGTAAGTTTACATGAGTACTAAGAGAAGGCAAGAAAAATGTTTCAATCCATTTTATTCGTTTTTGCTTAGTTCTTTTTATATAAAGTTCTTTTATTTAAAACATTTCTAAACACAAGTATTTTAATCCTGCTCACACTCATCAATAAATTCTAATTGGGCATTTGATACAGAATATCAGCCTTAGCTTATAATAGTATGAAGATCAGACAATGAGCTAAATGTGAGAGATGGAATTCAGGTTAATGATATTTATGGTATCATTGACATAAAAAGTAAATAGTATGGGGACCAAAAATATAACCTTGCTTAAACTCCACTGATAGTGGCTATAGGCATGATCAGCTCTCTTCTATTTATGCAGTGGATTTGTATAAAATATTAATAATTGTGTACAATTATTGGTGTAAGTTTATCAGTAATTGAAGATGATAATTGATTAAAGATATCAGTTTTTAATCTGTCCTAGAGCACTGATTCAAGAACTACCTTCAAATTTATAAAGGCAGCACACAAACAGTGGTTGGATAAGTCACATATTTCATTGATGGATGATGCACAGTAATGCATAAAATATCCCAAAGGTGCTTTTTCAAAAGGCAACTGGACTTTCTTGTTTTTCTTTAAAGACATTTCTCTT